TTGGCAGAAAATGCTCTCTGGAAGCAAGAGTGTCAGAAGATGGAAGTGTCATTACTCTCGGCCTTGAAGCATATACTGCCCTCCTACATGATCCCNACACGTATCTGCGTACTGGAGAACATGCCTCTCAACGCCAATGGAAAAGTAGATCGACAAGCTTTAGCGAAGGTCGTGATACAGCCAGCTACAAAAACATCAGCCCGTGTCATCGTTCCACCGCGAACCGCCATAGAGCAGGCTGTGTGTGAAGAATTCACAGAAGTGTTAGGACTTGAGGTTGGTATCATGGACGATTTCTTTGAGCTGGGTGGGCACTCGCTCTTAGCCACTCGCGTAGTGTCTCGTATCAATCGACGCTTATGCCTACATTGTACAGTAAGCGATGTTTTCGCGTACCCGGTTGTGGCTGAGCTGGTTGAAAAAATCCGCTGTCTCGGGACTAATAAATATTCGCCCATTCCCCGGTTACAGACGGACAGTCCGGTTGAGCAATCGTTTGCACAGTCTCTTCTCTGGAAAGTTCACCAATCGCATCCTACATCGACAATGTTTCTCTTAAAGCTAGCTGTTCGCCTACGAGGACCATTACGCCTAGATGCACTCAGTAGCGCCTTACAGACATTAGAAAAACGGCATGACACACTACGCACTACATTCGAACAGCGCGACCAGCTGGATGTGCAAATAGTGCATCCTTTTGTCAGCAAACCACTTCGGATCGTCGATATTGCTGGTCGCGATCCCAGCGAGTTTACGCGATCTCTACGTCAGGAACAGGAGACACCCTTTGACCTGGAGATTGAGCCGGGATGGCGGACGAAAATCTTTCATTTAGGCGAAGAAGATCACGTACTTTCTATCATAGTGCACCATATGATCTATGATGGGTGGTCAATCAACATCATTCACCGTGAGCTGGCCACATTTTACACTGCCGCAGTCCGGAACCAGAATCTCCTTGCACAGGTACGCCCCTTGACGATTCAATACCGGGACTTTGCAGTGTGGCAGAAACAGAAAGCACAGACAGCTGAGCATCAGCGCCAGCTGGAGTACTGGAAGAAACAGCTGAACGATGGCCGGCCTGCCGAGCTACCCTACGATAAGCCTCGTCCGACAGTGAGGTCTGGGACAATTGATGTACTCCCAGTTGACATTCCAAATGATTTATTTCACGAGCTCAAACAGTTTTGCAAGTTGTATCAGGCAACATCGTACAATGTGCTCCTCTCCGCTTTCCGAGCCACGCATTACCGCCTGACTGGTGTCAATGATGCAATAATAGGCATGCTGGTAGCGAATCGTAACCGTCAAGAGCTAGAAGACATCGTTGGATTTTTCACGAATGCGCTGGGCATTCGCATACATATTAAGGATGTTTCCTTCGAATGCCTAGTCCAACAGGTTCAGCAGACAACTGCTGCAGCAGCTGAGAACCAGGATGTGCCAATCCAAACAATCTTGGCAGAGATTCTTCCTGAAGCGCGTGATATCGCCTCCCACAATCCACTACTGCGGATTATTATGGGCCTTACCCCACTGAAAAATCTTGGTCAACTGCAACTCGACGGACTAGATACTGAACCAGTGGTGTTGCCGTCGGACGGTAAATCAAGATCACCCATCGATGTCCAGTTCCATTTCTTCGAGGACAAAGATATGATTTCCGGAAACGTTGCCTTCTCTGATGAATTATACAGCAAAGCTTCTATGCAGTCAACAATATCTCTGTTTTTCGAGGTTCTACGACATGGACTGAGAGAGCCTACCGTATCAATAGCAAACATAGGACCAGTCAATTGAGACGACAGGTGTCAGTTGGTTTTGCCATGCTATTTTGGTGATGAATCAAGAAGTCAATATCCTCGATTCCGAGCGCTCGGTATAGGCATACTCGTCAACAGTCAAGTTGGATAAATATGGAGGTTCAGTCAAGCCAAGCTGCGGGGACTGTGGTTTATTATCAATTGTAAGCAGTTGAGTAGATGTGAAGTATATTGTGTCGTGTTGTCAAAGTAAGGCTTTAGTTGAGGCCCATGCATAAGGCCAAGGAAACAAAAGAAAAGAAAAGGTCACAAAAAGGCGACACCTTAAGAGATAGCATGAATGAACACCTGTTTTTGACCCCATCATTGAAGACCCATCAAATCTGACACGTGTATATACAGTACTAGGCAAAAAGTTTCACCTCGCTAACCGAAATCGGCCCTCACCAAAAGTTGACGCTAGTGCTTCTACCACCAATATCTCCACCAAAGCTACATATTTTTTGAATTTGAAAAATAGAGTTGATTCTTCTATACTAGTATTTGGTTTGCCAGCCTCGCGCTTGGCGTGTTGCGCGGAGGCGTCGCGGCATTGACTCAATTAGTGCCTTAATCTGGCTGCTAGGTATCCTCCGCCAGCACTCTTTTAGTGCCTTACAAAAACCATCTAACTGTTCCTTAGTTTTGCTATAATTGCTATATTGTGGATAGAAGCGACTCATGTTTCGTTTAAGGATCCACCAGAGGTGCTCAATAGGATTGAGATCTGGTGAGTAAGCTGGCCAGCCGAGGGGTGTAATCTGATGGGAGGTAAGGAACTCGCGCACACTACGGGCGGTGTGTATGCGCGCGTTATCATGCATAAAAAGTTGTGAGGGCCTCCAGTGAGGCAGAAGACCTTTTCCAAGGGTTTGGATGTAATTTTGGCCGCTGTACCCACCGCGGGGAGCATCTGGATCTCTTTCCATAATCACGAGAGGACTGCGTCGCCCTTGGCCGCGTTCATCCACCCATATAGCCCCCCCCCACACCATCTGCTACGGGCCCTGGCTAGCAAGAACCTCTGTTAGCATCCTCCGCTTCGATTTCTCTTCTGGATATCGAAAACACCACTCCTGTGTGCCACCAGATCCCTTCTGAACTGAGCACTCATCTGAGAACTTGACCGTGCGCCGATGCCAAGGAAAACTCCGATACTGGCATGCGAATCTATAGCGCCCACGAGCATGCTCAGGAGTCAGCTTAGGTCGTTTTTTGCAGCGGTGTTTAGTTAGTTTTCGACGTTTGAGGACTGTATATAATGTTCGGCGGCTAGGAGGCTTCGAAGGGGTCCCATCTAGGCGTATAAAGACGGCGACTTTGGCAAGGTCTTCGTATAGTATTTTTGGATCAGCTCGTGCAGCACGATATATTAGCTTCTGCTGGTGACGTGAAAGTATCTGTGGGCGGCCGGAGCGAGGTTTATCCTGTACTGATCCAGTCTGGTGAAGCTTATTATATAGCTGACGAATGGTGGATGGATCGCGGCTGAAGTACGCTGCTACATCTTTGTAGCTTGCGCCCTCGTGTAGCATCCCGATAGCAATATTACGTTCATCCACTGTCATATTTCGGCCACGGCGCACATTTTGAGATAGCTCACGGCCGAAACGGCGTGGTGTAGCGTTGGTGGTTGGCATTCAAAAAAGTAGATTAGATTGGTGTTGATGGGGCGGTGGAGCTAACCGAGGTGAAACTTATTACCCATGACTGTAGCAATAGATATCTCTCCAGATTGTGCGCCTCTGGGATGGTGGTGTTAGCTACAGCAGAGAAGACAGTATCCGAAACTTAGCCCTATGGCGATT